TCTGCAACTTTTGCTTTTTGAATTTTATTCTATTAAAGAAAACAGCAATCTCGACCGCGTCCTCTCCTAAGACCTCGTCGAGATCGTCCCTCTCGTCCAATCCCTCATCGATCGGAAAGTTGCACAAAAGGGGGGGAATGCAGCTTAATCCATCCCGACAAGGTAGAAGAGAGATCCGTGAGACAATGGCTCAAGCAAAAACGCTGGCAGCCTCGATGCTGACCCAGCCACCGACCCAGCCATCGTCACCTGCAAAGCTGACGCCACAAACCCATCTGCCGTCACCTGCAAAGCTGACGCCGTCGCTCTCTGCGTCAGCTGCGACACCAACCTCCACACGGCTAACCCACTCACGCAATCAACTACATGTCGCCGGCCCCCCACCGCAAGATCTTGATTCACTTGCAGGCTGTGATGAAAAAGAAAAAACAAACAATTGACTGAAAATTGGTCCTGCTGCTGCTGATTTGGGTTAATTTGCTGAGTTTGTCAATAGCTTGATCTCCGAGGTTGCCGATGTTCCCTTTATGGATGCTCTTGTTGCAGCTTGGCTTCCAAGAACGGAAAGGCAGGGCGTAGCTGATGTTTTATTTGGTGACTATGGCTTCACGAGCAAGCTTTCTCGAACCTGGTTCAAAACCGTTGATCAGCTACCGATGAATGTAGGAGATGCACATTATGACCCTCTCTTCCCCTTTGGATATGGCCTCACTACAACACCGGCCAATTCCAACTAGTTATAAAATCAAGTGCGAAGTTTATGGGCGGCGGCCCTCATCGTTTTGGTTGCTGCCTCTACACTCAATTTCCAGATGTTGGGGATTATTGACAAGTGTGGAAATTCCAGTCTCTCTCCGCCTGCATGTTTATGGAGCGTAGGCTGCAGGTTTTCGATAGCCGTGGCAATCCCACCGTCGAGAGAAAACCTTCAGCAGATGCTGATGGAGATACCAAGAAAAGCAAAAGATGAGATCTTGAACCGTTGCCAATGATGAAAGTAGAGATACAGATAAGCTATCTTACAACAATACCATTATTATTCCACTTTGGCGTTGTCTGCCATCTGCCAAAAGAGAAAAGAGGTGAGCCCTATTAGGAGCAGGGAGATCAAGAAAAGCAGAAAAGCAGTGGGGAACAAAGCAGAAAAGAGAAAGCAAAAGTGAGGAATAAACACCCCACCAGAATTATGTGATTTACTTTCCTTATTTTTGAATGATGTAATTTATTTTTATTATCTTTCGGAGACATCTATATAAACCCCATAAGAGGGTAATATGTATAAACCCCATCAGAAAAAAGAAAAAAAAAAAGGGCAAAGCCCAAAACAAATGGGCTAGCATGTTGTGGAGGGCGAAGGCCCATAAGCCCAAAATAGCACCAACCAGGTTATCAAAAGTACACCCAGTACTCCAAAATTATTTGACAACCTGCCGCTATTACCACCAACCAAGTGATGAAATGTACAACCTGTACTCTAGTATCATTTGGCAACTAGCCATTCATGCCACCAACCAGGTGATCAAAAGTACGCCAAGTACTTCAAATTATACATGAGCATTACTCATGTCATTCATACATAAAACATTCATGAGCATCACTCATAACAATCATACATAAACATTCATGAGCATCATTCATGTCAACATTCATGAGCATCACTCATGTTAACATTCATGAGCATCACTCATGACAACATCCATGAACATCACTCATGTCAATCAACATAAACATTCATGAGCATCACTCATGTCAATCAGCTTCAAAAGCTTCATTTACAGAGCTTTAGCTTCAAAAGCGTCATTTAAAGAGCTCTAGCTTCAAAGCTTCACTTGCAAAGCTTCACCTACAAAGCTTCAGTGCAAGGTATACAAATACCGCCTCCGAACAAACGCCACTTCGGCCCATACATGGATTCAATTTGAAGTCTCCAGCGAACAGACTCTATTAATCGAAGACTTGGGGGACTACATTATGTACCGTATATTGGGCCTCAACTGGGCCTCATAAAAAATACTTGGGGGACTTAGCCCATTATTTATGTACTGAGGAGCGAGCTCTTATTCTATAAAATGGACTTCCTCACTTTCACTAGAGAGCACACATCACTTATGTATTGAAGAGCAAGCCCTTAGTTTATAAAAGGGACTCTCACTTTCATTAGAGAGTATCGCCGCTTACTGAGCAACCGCCTCGCGGCGAGCATCAACTCTAACCCATCACTTATGTTTTGAGGAGCGATCCCTTATTCTATAAAAGGGACTCCCTCACCATCATTAGAAAGCATCAACTCTAGCCCATCATTTATGTATTGAGGAAAGAGCCCTTATTCTATAAAAGGGACTCCCTCACCTTCAACACCACAAGCCAAGCCAACCAAGACAACATAAGCCACGAGCCGAACAGCCTCGCAACATATGTTACTTCTAGTTGAGCATCACTTCAGATTGAGCACCGCCTCATACCAAGTACTAGTTCAAGACGACATCTAGTTACTTCGGCCCACACATGGACTAAATTTCAAGTCTCCAGCCAAAAGACTCTCTTGACTGAAGACTTTAGGGATTACTGTTTATACCATATTTAGGGCCTCGTATTTAGATCTCGTACAAATACTCAGGGGACTTAAATGTAATTATGTGATAAAGGAAGGGGCAAATATGTAATAAGTGAGGAGTCCTTATTCTATAAAAGGACCCATCACCCTCACAATTAGGAGAGACCAATTCCTAAAGCTCCTCACCCTCTCAACACTCTCACTCTCAGAGCTCTCTTTCTCCCTCACTTCTCAGAGAAATACAATACAATTAGTGCGGACGTAGCCCAAACATTGGGGTGAACCACGATACATCTTGCGTTATTTACATTTCTTGCGGATTCACGGTCGGATTTACGTTATAACAAGACCTCCAATTTTGTGCATCAACACCCTCTTTATAGTATAGACGATGGATGACTTTATACTATGAAGTGGTTATTTATGAGAGGCGTAACTATTTGTGTGTACCTAGTGGACACTATGCTGCCTGGGGCGAGGATTTGGTGTTGGCAGTTAAGCCAGGAGAAATAATCCCTAGCTACAGGTTGAGGGACACGAAGCAGGCATTGAGCCGGGAGTTGGTAATCTCTGGCTACGGGCACAGAGACCATGGTGCTGGCATAGGGTCGGGAGTTATATTCATTCAGTGATTTTTCTAGCAGTACACCGATCTTACGAGACGATCTATGAGACGTTTACTATTTTGATTTCCGCGATGTTATTCCGCTATATGACTTTTGAGATATTTTTGGCATGCTAGGATTTTTATTAAATTCATCACTTATTATGCTAGTAGTTTTCTTTATATAAGTTGTGGGGGTTATTATCTTGATAACTGTTTTATTATTATTGTATATATGAACTTGGTCCACTCACATTTGTTTTGCGCCCCCATTCAGGTCTTAGAAACGAGAACTACGACACAACGCATGAGGCATTCCCCTACCAGTAGTAATCTATCACTCACTTGTGTGATATCCTGTAATGATCGTTCCTTTTGTGATCTTGTTTTAGAATGTGTTATGTGCACTCTAGATACTTTCTTAAACTTTGTTTATTACTTCTAGATTCTAATGTTTATTCATGAATATTTCCTCCTAATCATTACTCTTGTAATCAATAAATGGCTTTCGTCACCCTCAGGTGTCGGTCAGTACGTGCCTATCCGGGTATTCAGAGAATATCAGGATCGGGATGTGTCATTTTAACACACATATCCCACCATTTATATAGCGACACGTGGTATACCACTCCGTGTGACGGTCACACTGAAAAATCTCTCCAACAAATAGGGATGTCTACAGCTTTTGGTATTTTCTCTTGTTAGTGATGTTGTAATTCAACTGCAATCCATCAGGAGCCTTCTTCTTGGCTAGAAGCTTTTTCTTATGTGCTTCCTCTTTTGATTGTTGCTATAAATTAAGGGTGACAAATTGCAAATAAGGATCACCGATGAGATGCGTAGTGTGTAAACTGTAAAGCAAAGTCTTGTAAAATATATGGCACCTGAAATTTTAGTCTGATCACAGTTACCTATCACATAACCATTGTTCTTTTCAACATATTCCAACTATCTTCGCTGAATTTTCAACAGCGTTTACTTGGGAGCGGCTGGGAAGCAACTCAGATGATCCCGTGACCTACTGGTTCGTGACCCTCTGGTGACCACAACCGGTTCGACAAAATGCTTGAACGGGCTGTCCAAACTAGCTGCGGCTTGCAGCGTTTTTAAATAAAGGTATATAAAAAAATAAAACCCACAAACCCAGACAACCAGGAGGCCAAGATATCCCCTAAACATTCAAATCCCTATTAATATTTTGTCTCCTAAGTTGTACAGTCACATCTACATACCATCCCTAACCCACCAAATTTATGATAATATAATTTATTTGGCACAAATAACATCACCGAAAATCGTAATTAACTTGGCAAAAACTACGTGCTACTTACTAGATAGGGGCGTAGGGACAAGGAAGAAAACTATAAACACAACTGAGTATGTATAGGTTGGTATAAAGATGACGATAATGATAATGAACATTAACGTAATAAGGTTACACGTCTTTTTGGTCGAAACAAAACAATATATACATATTTAAATGTTAAAATAAAATTCTTTCACCTTCTTCTCCTACTTCTCTCCTACTTTCCCGTTTTCACTCACATGCATGCATAGCATAGGATTGCATACGTAAGAATAACAAGTTGATAAGGTGAAGAATGACAAGTTTAACAAGTTGATAAGGTGAAGAATGACAAGTTGCTAAAGTGGGGTGTGATAAGCAAAACAACGGTAGCCGTCCTGTTGGAAGCCAGCAAATTGTATTGGAAAAACTACTCAACTTTGCAGCTGATCGTATTTGAATTTTGTTTAAAAGTATAATATTTTATATGCAGTTAACATCATCTTCCTTTATATGATCCTATCCTTTAAGGCTATAAATTACTTCTTCATACCGGAACTGAAACTTGCCAATTCAAAACTCATACGAAATGGGAATTTTGGTTACGAAATTCATCTTATCATACTCACTTTTCATTGCAATTTTGAGCTTTTCTTTAGGGTTGGGGTTGCTGCAGGGAGGGAATGAGACTGATAGGTTGGCACTGCTAGCCTTCAAAGCTCAGATAAACCAGGATCCTCATCAAGTCATGAGCTCCTGGAATGAATCCACTCACTTCTGCCAATGGCACGGTGTCACCTGTGGTCGGCGACATAGTCAGAGGGTCACTACGCTGGACCTGCGATCCCAAAATTTGGGGGGTTCCATATCTCCACACATAGGTAATTTAACCTTCCTTAGAAAGCTATTTCTCCAAAACAATAGCTTTGTTCATGAAATCCCTCCAGAGATCGGGCGTTTGCGTAGATTACAGTTTTTACGTCTTTTGGATAACTCGCTCAGTGGCTCTATTCCAGCCAACATTTCCAATTGCTTCAACCTCATATCTCTCTATTTGGGTGGCAACAATCTGGTGGGTAAAATTCCTCCACAACTTGGCTCCTTATCGCAACTTTACGCATTTGCTTTAGACCGAAATAATTTAATAGGAGAGATCCCTTCTTCCCTGGGAAACCTTACAGCTCTCGATAGAATTTCTTTTCTCTATAATAACTTGGTAGGAAACATCCCTACTTCTCTAGGCCAATTGAAGCAATTGACATTTTTCTCAGCTGCTGCAAATAGGTTTTCTGGTCTCTTTCCTCCTTCCATCTATAACATCTCTGGTCTCCAAATTTTTGATGTAACGCAAAACCAACTTCAAGGAAGCATTCCCTCAAACTTTGACAAAACTCTTCCGAATCTCTTACACTTTAGCATCGGCGCCAACCAGTTCACTGGATCCATTCCTCTCTCGATATCCAATGCTACAAGTCTAGTGGGTTTCGAAGTTGCAGATAACAGACTGACCGGAGGGGTGCCAAATCTTCAAAAGCTTCACAACCTCCAAAAATTCAGCATTTTCATCAACCAACTTGGAAGCAATGAACCGGGTGACTTGAGGTTTGTGTCAGACTTAACTAATGCCACAGAACTGATATGGTGCATTTTCAGTGATAACAATTTTGGAGGGACGTTGCCCGCTTCAATATCCAATCTATCAAAACTCGAAATACTTCAGGTCGGTGGAAACAAACTACATGGAAGCATCCCAGCTGGGATTGGGAATCTGGTTAACTTGCAAACATTAATTTGGGGGATAAACTCCTTCACAGGTAGCATCCCCATTCAAATTGGGAAGCTTACAAAGCTTGGGGTATTGTATGGTCAAGACAATGAACTAACAGGGAGCATTCCTTTGTCTTTAGGAAATTTAACCAAGTTAACTGAACTCACATTGCAACGAAATAAACTTCGGGGAGGCATCCCTTTGAGCTTAGGGGAGTGCCACGGGCTTCTAGAATTAGATCTTTCTCAAAATAACCTTGATGGTGCAATACCTCTACAACTCCTAAATGGCCTCACATCCTTATCAAGATCTTTGAACTTGTCCAGAAACCAATTAACTGGTTCTCTTCCGATGGATGTTGGAAAGTTTAGCAGTTTAGGTAAACTAGACTTGTCTGATAACAGGTTATCAGGAAACCTTCCAAGTAGCCTTGGTAGTTGTGTGAGTTTAGAAGTCCTGCACTTGCAAGGCAACTTCTTCAATGGGACCATTCCATCATCTATGAGTTCACTAGGAGGGATTCAAGATTTGGACCTTTCTCGCAATAATTTGTCAGGTGAAATTCCACAGTTTTTAGAGGGCCTTCGCGGCTTGAAGAATTTGAATCTATCTTTCAATGAGTTTCGGGGAGCAGTACCAGTTGACGGAGTTTTCAAAAATGCAACTGCAACTTCGGTTGTTGGAAACAGTAGGCTTTGCGGCGGTATTGAGGATCTCCGGCTTTCCAAATGCAGCTCTAAAGGGACCAAGGGAAGAGGTTTGTCTCGTCGATTCAAATTAACTATCTGTATAGTATGTGGGTTTCTCGGAATAGCTATGGTCCTGTCATTATTATTTCTTCGTTCGCTAAGAAAGAAAAGAAAATCAACTGCACAGAGTACTTTGGCTAATTCTGTTTTGCAAGTGTCATACAATACTCTCTTAAAGGCTACCAATGGGTTCTCTTCAACTAATTTGATTGGTGTGGGAAGCTTTGGGTCTGTGTACAAAGGAGTTCTTGACAATGATAGAGCTCAACTTGTTGCTGTGAAGGTTTTTAACCTGTTACGTCGAGGAGCTTCAAAGAGTTTCTTAGCCGAATGTGAGGCAATGAGAAACATCAGGCATCGAAATCTTATCAAAATTATAACTGCATGTTCAAGTGTTGACTTTCACGGAAATGATTTCAAGGCTCTAGTTTATGAATTCATGGGCAATGGGAGCTTGGAGGAGTGGATTCATCCAACCGATGGACCAGAAGAGGTAACTGATGCATCCAAGAAATTGAGTCTTCTTCAGAGGCTAGACATCGCCATTGATGTTTCTCATGCAATAGACTATCTTCATAATCATTGTGAACCACCAATAGTTCATTGTGATCTCAAGCCGAGCAATGTTCTTTTGGACAACGAGTTGCTTGGGCATGTTTCTGACTTTGGACTTGCAAGATTCCTCTCAAAACTAGCCAACAACGTCTCTACAAATGATCAAACAAGTTCCATGGGATTGAGAGGATCAATGGGTTATGTTGCTCCAGGTATTTCACTATATGCTCCATTTATTGTATTTTTTTCCTTCTTTTATTTTGCAATATTTGTGACAATATGTTTTGATGTTTGAAACGTATGTAGAGTATGGTATGGGAAGTGAGGTTTCAACAAATGGGGATGTCTACAGCTTTGGCATTCTCTTGTTAGAGATGTTTACAGGGAAGAGACCCACTGACCGCATGTTTAGTGACGGCTTGAACCTTCATAATTTTGTGAAGGCGAATTTTGGTGGACGAGTTACAGAAGTTGCAGATTCGATACTTGTTCAAGAAGGTATCACTACCAATACCACCCCCAACCAATTCAGCGCAAGATCTGAAAATGTGGAGGAGTGCTTAAGTTTGATCCTTGGAATTGGAGTCTCTTGTTCTGCTGAATCCCCAAGAGACCGAAAAGAGATAAGTGATGTTGTAAACGAGTTGCAATCTATCAGGGCTATCCTTCTTGGGTAGAAATTTCTTCTTAACTTTTGTGTTTACTTCAAAGCCCTTCTTTTCTTTTTAACCTTCTTTTTTAATTATGTACCTCCCTTGAAGTGTTATCGCTGCTATAAATAAAAGGTGATGAATGGCAAGTAAACATTCACCAGTGAGTTTGCATATAATTCTCCGATCTCAAATCATTTAAAATTTTATTTGATCAACTAAATCATATGAGAGATGATGAGTCTTGACGCAATAGAAATGTTGCTTCTTTGTGACCAAAAGATCACAAGTTCGAGTCATGAAAATAATTTTTTTTGCAAAACAAAGATAAGACTACATACTATATATATGTTCTTCCCGACCTTCGCAAAACGAGAAGCTTTATCATAAATTTGGGAACTGGATCATATGAGAGCCGCCAGAAACCAAGTTGATGAACCCGGCTTCACCTTGTGTTAGTTTGGACCACGTTTCAATTGCATGAAAACGACGTTATGAATGGCTGCCAAAGATGCTTTTTCCTTGTCGGTCGTAAGCTTTGTAAATTATTGGAATTTTGTCCAAATGCAATTAAAGTTTTTTGTATGATATATCTCACCTTGGCACAATTGGGTGTTCTTCTCACTATCTTTCTTCCATGGCAGAAAATGTGCTGTGTCTAGCAAAAAAGTAGAACCATGAGCTGGGGACCTTGACCTAACAGACATCCTCAATTTGATAAACTGATAAGCTTCCTGTCACCATCTCCCAAATCACAAATAAGTCCATAAGTATTCTGGTCTTTCTTTCCCTTCCATTCCTTAATTTCTCATTATCGAAAAGTTTCATATTATCGAAATTTATATCATATGAACATTATTTGAAGCCTTCGATAAACATAAGGGTTTGTATGGCACGCAATTCTCTTAATCTATACCTCTACTTAATTAAAGAAACCCAAAAACAAACTGCTGGTCTAGTACATTAAAGAATTTTTGGTTTTTTTTTTTATATATAAAAAGAAAAAGGCTCCTAAGCTTTTTTGTTTAAGATTTTTATTTATTTATAAATATGAGCATTAATTGTGATTTGCTACGCACCTATCAGAAGTGAGTGTACCCTACTAACTCAAGGGTTCAAGGGGTGCTTTAATATAACCTTAATTTTGAGATGATAATAAATCTCTTGCCCCCTTTATTTAATTTAGTGTTTGAGCTCTCCCAAAACATTTTTACTAAAAATCTTTAATACATGTCATAATTTGTCTACATTTCAAAACTTCCTTGTATTTTAGCATACGAAAATTTGCACCATCTAATAAAAATTGATTCATAAATTTATTTATACAATACAAGACCAATTTCTCAACATTTGTAGAGATGCAGATATTCACCCAAAAAAAAAAAAAAAAAAGAGACATGGTACAGTTCAAATGTAGCAACTTATACAATATATACTGCTAGCATCTAATTCTTTAAAAATTTATCTAAGTACAGTAAACTAGTTGATAGTTTAACCATGAACTGAGGCGTATCTGTTGATCAGAGCCAAGGCATTGCTAGTCAATTGTGCAATATTCACAACTCTACCCCTCACAACAGTCTTCAAATTACCGTTCATCCCATTTCCACCAAACCCATCGGAGCATGTTGTCTCATCCGTCAAAGCGGCACTAACCCAAGTTTGCACATCACTTATCATGAGCTGAAAATCCGAACTTGTAAAGTTGCCCATCTCAGCTATGGACCTTTGAATGACATCGACCGAATCACTTAACTCTTCGATGCAGTCCCTCATGGCTCCGACTTCTCTAGGCTTCATGCCATGACTTTGGGAGAGCTTTGACATCATGGTAGAGGTTGATTTGGCGGAGGCAAGGGTCACGGTGAGGGCTGTGCTGGCCATAAGTTTAGGGCTTGTTTGGATTTCACTTGAATGTCTTGAAAGAGAAGTAAGGCAAAGCTTTGGGTAGGTTGTTGCACTGCAAGATGTTTTCATGAATTCATTGTTGGTTTTTTGTGCAAGGTCTCTTGCTGCTGAGGTTGAAGAGAATATGTAGCAACTAATAAGAAGTGCCAAGAGAAAAGATGTGACAAAATGGCTAGAAGATGAGAATGCCATCTCTTTTGTGTCTTTGATTTTGGAGGCAGTAGAGTAGCAGTGTAGAGAGTGTGAAGAAAGTAGGAAGGGAATGACACTAATTTATAGAACCAATTCTAAAAAGCACATGGAAAAGTCTTTTTTCGGTCCCAAATTACAGCTGGAGGCAGGTACATCTGTTTCCTAAACATAATTTCGAGTTGCCAGTTGGTTTTGTTGGTTTCTCATGAACTTGCTGCAATTGGTTCATTGACGTCTAAACTCTAAAGCAATGTGAAACCAAAGAGCCATACTCGAACTTGTCTAAATCATTGTGATCAATCGATCCCAACTTGATCGGTGAGTGAAGGCATTCAACTTGTGCGTAATTTGCATGCGTCTTCCCGCAACTTGAGATTTTCAGTCGACATGTATACAAATAACTCTCTCCTTAAATGTAGCACTTGCGAAAGAGATTTAATGCATGGAAGGGTACAGACTCGACAGGGATTTTTCATAGATATATGGATAATGTTAGGGAGACTACAATTGAGTTATTACTTAAATGTTGATTAACGTACTTATTCTTTATTGGTGACACATTACATAATTTATAAATATAGTCTAAAAAAATGATATACCTAACATTACTCTAGATATATATCAAAATATCACAACTATCAATGGATAGATATCAAAATTAATCATGTGGGATGGTTGAGGGCAATATACATATCAAAGTGGAGATAGGAGTGGTAGGAGTAAATGGAGACAAAAAAGGAACTGGTGCATTTGATTCTTTTTTAGAAGACTCCTTCTAAAGTGGAATTCTTCATAAACTCTTTGTTATCTCACAGTTTAATGTCAATTCCTGTGTCAATATTATAAAATATTGTACCAAAAATTATCGCTGAGTAGACTCTTGTACCCTAAATCTAACTTAATAAAAGGTGCAGCCTCTTATTCCAATACAAATTTAGATTATGCAAAGTCCATCAAAAATTAATCATGCAATAAATAAAAGGTTATGAATGGCAAGTAAATATTCACCAATGAGATTGCATATAATTCTCTAATCTCAAATCATTAAAATTGATCAACTGAATCATATGAGAGCCTCCAGAAACCAAGTTGATGAACCCGACTTCACCTTGTGTTAGTTTGTACCACATTTCAATTTCATGAATAACGTTATAAATGGCTGCCAAAGCTGTCTTTTCCTTGTCGGTCCTAAACCTTGTAATTATTGGAATTTTTTCTGTCGACTACAGTTGACTGACGGCTCATCAATGGCGGCTCATTATAATTGTTAAGAAGGATTGGAATCCAATCATTGTAATAAGTTGAAGAGTTAGTTCAAGTTGGTTGAAAAAGCTTGTGAGCTAAGTAATGTGCTCAACTATATAAAGCATTGCAAAACAGATTGTACAATTCATTCAGAAAGAGCAATAAAAAAGTTATAAGCATCATCCCTCTCCATTCTTTTCCTCTCTGTAAAGCTTCATTCCTTCTGCTTGTTCGTGTTCGATCTTTCTCATTTTCTCATCACAATTGGGTGTTCTTGTTGCCTATCTTTTTACCATGACAGAAAATGTGCTATGTCTAGCAAAGTACAACCAAGAGCTGGGGACCTTGACCTACAAGCAGCCCGTCACCATCTCATAAAATTAAACAAGCCAAATCACAAATAAGTCCATAAAGTTTTCTGGTCTTTCTTTCCCTTCCACTCCTTGGTTTCTCATTATCGGAAAGTTTTTTATTTGTCCGAAATTCTATTATCTGAACAATTTGTTGAAACGTTATATCAACATAAGGGTTTGTAGGCAAGCAATTCTCTTAGAGCTTGTTTGGATGTGTTTTTAAAATAACTAAAACCGCTTTTGATGAAAATGTTTTTGGAACCACTCCTTAGTAAAAATGCAAGAAAATCATGGAAAAACACTTAAAGTGCTTCCTGGAAGAATCACATAACTAATGCTTCTTGCAAAAAGCACTTAACGTGCTTTTGTAACCCAAAAATATTTTCTCTAAAAGCGCTTTCAGTCATTTTAAAAGTACATTCAAACGAGCCCTTAATCTATACAAGTACTTAATTAAAGAAAGTGAAAAACTACCTGTTGGTTTAATACATTAAAGAATTTGTCAAATCCTAGGTGGAAATGCCATTGTACAATGCATATTTGACATAAAAAAAATTAGTGTACGAGCTCTCCCAAAACATTTTACTAAAAGTCTTTAGTACATGTCCAAATTTTGTCTACTTTTCAAAACTTCTTTGTATTTTAGCATATGCAAATTTGCACCATCTAATAAAAATTGAATCCATAAATTTATTTATACAATACAAGACCAATTTCTCTACACTTGTAGAGATACGTATATTCACTCAAATAAAAAATAAGTAACAGTCACACGTACAAACCGAATGTAGCAACTTATCTTATCATACAACATATATTGCTGACATCTACGTCTTTAAAAAATAATCCAAGTACAGTAGACTAGTTGACTGGTTTAACCATAAACTGAGGCGTATCTGTTGATCAAAGCCAAGGCATTGCTAGTCAATTGTGCAATATTCACAACTCTGCCCCTCACAACAGTCTTCAAATTACCGTTCATCCCATTTCCACCAAACCCATCAAAGCATGTTGTCTCATCCGTCAAAGCAGCACTAACCCAAGTTTGCACATCACTTATCATGAACTGAAAATCCGAGCTCCTAAAGTTGCCCATCTCAGCTATGGACCTCTGAATTGCATCGACCGAATCACTTAACTCTTCGATGCAGTCCCTCATGGCTCCGACTTCTCTAGGCTTCATGCCATGACTTTGTTAGAGCTTTGACATCATGGTAGAGGTTGATTTGGTGGAGGCAAGCGTCACGGTGAGGGCTGTGCTGGCCATAAGTTTAGGGCTTGTTTGGATTGCACTTGCATGGCTTGAAAGAGAAGTAAGGCAAAGCTTTGGGTAGGTTGTTGCACTGCAAGATGTTTTCACGAATTCATTGTTGGTTTTTTGTGCAAGGTCTCTAGCCGCTGAGGTTGAAGAGAATATGTAACAACTAATAAAAAGTGCTACGAGAAAAGATGTGACAAAATGGCTAGAAGATGAGGATGAC